ACACTTTTTAGAAGACTAGAAGATCTTTTTATCGGAAAATATGACTCTATCCCAAAACTGCTGTTCTTGCGCTTGATAGTTAAGAGCGAAAATAAGCCTTGCTTGCTGCTTGGTTGGGGAGTGAGTGCGGTGTTTTTCCTTAAATCTTCGACAAACTGGGATTTTACTGCCCGGACATTCCGAAAGAAATAGTACGTTCTTCGCGCGTTCGAAAGGGTCATCCTCGCCTATCCGAGCACCTGATCTTCTTGAACTAAACTAGCTGTTTGTCAGCTAAATCCCGTTTTCCATTCAAACGTTTCTTCTTGTCTCCATTTTTTATTAATGGAAAAAATGGTTGTTCGGCTTACATTAAAATGTTGAGCTACCGCTGATAAGGACCCTCCATCTTTTAACTTGGTCACAATTGAAGAGTAGAAGTAACAAAGGGAAATTAGATTTTTATATAGAAAGGTTTTACGTGCCACTCACTTTGACCCATCAAGCGGGTGTCAGAATTATAAATTCCGGAACAAATTACGCAGATGGGTGGCGCTTTCTGCAAGTGATCTATTATTTTCACAACAAAGGGGTCAAGTGCCGTAACACGTGTTGTGCGTTTATATTGTTGTTAACGTTTTCTGTAACGATGCTGTCAAATATTGTAAAGAGCTATTGAATGAAATGAATTTTGAACGTCGGAAACAAGGAATGGTGATGAGCAAAGACAACGCAAAAATGCAGGACATTCCTATAAAAACAGAAATGGGAACGCTATAGCTGAAAAAAAGAGACCTAACCTATAAGTAACTCATTGTCTCAATTTCTAATATGGAAGCGTCTACGTGACTCTGGGACGGTCCCAATTTTTATCTTTTGCGCTGTAGGTTTGAATTCACAGGCTTAGCGCAGTTGTTAGTATAGTGGATTAGATACTCACCAATCCTTTTTTTAAATATTGTGAAAACTTATTTACCCGTGAGCCAAATAATTTATTAGTTTATTTCTTTAAAATAAAATGTTTTTTATTTTGTTAATTTTTTTTTTAATATCTCCTTTTAATAATTTTGGCACCAATTCGTTACTTCTACTCTTAAATTTTTGCTTTTAACTCTGCTCGTATGTGGAGCCTTTTTCGGCTTTCTTTTATTTTCTAACATATTTGTGACAATGCTGATATATTTTTTTATTTGACAGTGGCAGTATTAGAAATATGAAAACAATGAAGTTTGCATGACGACATGGTCCTATAATACACTCTTCAAAACTTTGAAAAAAGTACTTTAAGAGTCGTATCAGTTTTTACCTGGTCGGAACGATAATCTTAATATGAACTAGAAAAAAAATTGTTTGAGTAATAGTAATCTGACGTTTTGATGACGTGCAACGGATTAAGTTTTGGATGAAGCATAAGTAATAGTGAAGTATAATAAACTTGCAATGAAGTGCCAAAATTGATCAGTAAAAATGTACTCCTGTTCCACATTTCCGATTAACCTGACAAGCACGAGGCTGAATCTGCTGGTAACAGGAACGGCAAGCGTTTTATTTTTCTCAGCGTGGTGGCTCATCGCCGACGTCGACATCCAGAAAGTCCTGAGTCAGAACCCAAGCTACTACGTTCCCTGTATCGTCTCCACTTTGGCCTTTTTCTTTATCAACGCTATATCAGCACGTTCGTTTTACGACAGTTTTGGGTACGATCAAGGTTGTTTCACGCCGTTCGTTGCTAAAACGTACCTCTTTCTGTGGTTGATGGTGAGCTTCGGATGTCTGATAGCCGCCGTTTTTATTCTCGTCAATTACTTTATTTTGCGTCAAGATAAAAATCAGTGGCCCGGTTATGGGATCGCGATTCAAAATGCATTCATTTTTGCGTCCACCATGTTACTTCGTTTTGGAAGAAAACAAGATCCCTGTGGCTGAGTGAAATTTATGTTTTTAGTGCGCGAAATAAAATGAGCAGAAAGAAAATATTCCCTTTTATCAGAATTTATGTAGGGTGGGGATGATCAGGGGCGAGAGGGGATTTGTTTTCGTACATTGGGAAACGTTCATAATTTAAGTGAAGTGAAAATATGTGGATCGGAAGTTGACGGATTTGATGAAAAATCCACAACCTATATAACTGGTGTGGTGGCATATAATCATTATAATCAAAATTTTATTAATAATAAAAATAAAACAACTATGGAAGATCATTATGAACAAACCATAAAAAGAAGTGAGTAAATAAGACAAGCTGCAGTCAATTCAATGAAGCCAATTGAAAAAGTAATTGAAAATATTGATTTCCAGAAATGCCAATGGAGAAAGAACTAATGCAATAAAATTGAAATTGAAAATAGTATTTACAAGCCTGTATTCATTCTGCGTCGGTTGTTGATAAATCGAACTTGCTGATTTTTCGCCAATCATCCTGTTTAGTTCTTCAGTTTCAGTTCAGCTCCGAATCTAAGGCTATGATGATTATTGAGTTGGACATTAAAATATTTTAGACCTACATATGATCCAAACTGTATAGATCAATAAATTAGGTCAATTGTGTGCAAAATTAAGTATTCAAAAAGATATTTCCACCCATACCGAATCTCAAAGGACGATCAGACGAACCTGTTGTATAAACGAACTAGCCATATAATCTGCCATTAAAAAAAAACGTTATATTTGTTTAAAGTGTTTATGAAAATAAAGTTAGAAGGCTTGCAAATGAATCAGAAGGAGAATATAGAAAAGTTGTATCAGAAAATCTAGGTATTGATTTGGATAAAATAGAAAATAGAGAGGTGTAGCAAAAATGTACTTAAATTTTGGTCAGAGACAACATATGGGCGAAATAAAATATGTTACAGATAGTAAGAGATTTTATTAGGTGACAGACTTGAATCATATAAATTAAATTAAAATATGTTACAAATTCGATATAGGTATAAAGATTGCTATGTACAAGATGATTTTACTAGGGTATCAATAGGTTCAAAGAGTTATGTAATATAAAACAATTTACATTTACAGACTAACCAAAACTAAGAAATGCCAAAAATATTTACTCCTATATAGTATAAATGATATTCTAGGAAAGTCCAGCAGAGTCACAGAAAAAAGACAATAAAATCAATACACGTCATGGTGTGATATCAGAAATACTAAAACTAGAGAACTTATGAAGAAAAAGAGTCATTCTGGAATTCTTTGATGCAATGCTGAACAAACCAAAAGACCTATTAAAGTTGGATTGGAACGTTCGAGCGGTCCTATCAGTAATACAATTTAAAAATGTAAAGGGGTTTAAATTGGGCGTATTGTAGTACATAGTAGCTTCTGCACAATTGCTTTGACTGGACTTTAAAACAGTCTGAAAAGTTAAAAAGGACAATTTTTTCTTGACATTTCGCTGTCCCAGGTCGGTGGACCTATCGCAACTGCAGGAAGACATAAAACGATTTCAGTACTTATATGTAGTGGTAATATTTAAAAAATTCTTTATTCTTTCGTTCGCTACCTGAATGAATAAAAAACGAACCAAAAACCAAATGGTTTTAAAATCCTGCAGTTTAAACCAATTTATAAAAGGTTTGTTCGTAGCCACAAATTTCAAATCAATTGATAATTTCTTCCACTCACACAGTTTTTCATTAGTTTTGTTTTGCGAACGGCTCGACATTTGTATAATTTTCAACTTAGTTTATCATCAAGAAACAACAGCGATCGCCCACTTGCTGCTTTGTCCCCTAACATCTTCGTGTTTTTTGCATATAAAACCCACAAGCATTTGAAATTTTAAAATCAATTTAAAAAGAAATCGCTTTATTCAATTAGTTGCTCTAATATTATGTTCCGCTGTTAATATCATTATCAAAATTCCACCTTCAAGGTACAATGTTTACTTTTTCGAAAGAAGAATGTTTCAACATTTACTTTGTTTATGGATTGTGTAATGATGAATATCGTCGACGATTTCGCCCTTTCCTTGTAGAACTGTCAATGTCAATCGATGTTTGTGAGAAACAGACAAGTTTCCTACAGCAACTTCTGAACGTCACGTTCAATAGGAACTTACTCAAGAAGCAATTCTTTATATGACTGATGCTTAACCTTCTACTAGTGTCCGAAGTTAATAGACTTACCATAGACCGGATGAGAGTAATGAGAATTTTACACAATGTCGGTTTGTACCCGTACCACATCTTACCTGTACAAGCTTAAAATCTGCCGTATCCGTTTCAATACTGTAATTTAGCTGTATATTGAGAAGGATTTGTCTGATAATATTATATAGTGTTGTGAGGCTTCATTACCCTTAATCGTATCAGTAACACCAGGAATACACATTGTTGAGCGCTTAAAAATGTGGCTTTATTGATGCCCACCTCATTGGTCCCTTTCATTAAAAATGATCTTCAATATTACTGGATGATTTTTCTTTCAATATAAGACAACGTATGGGGATTCAGTACGCACTTCCTCACTTTGGTCGCCAAGTAACCGAATTTGTTTATCAAAATTATACACACCCGTGGATTGGAAGAGGTTCCTTCAGCAGTTCCTTGCCCAACAAGGTCACCTGACTTAATCCCTCTTGACGTTTTCAACTTGAAATCACCTCAGCAACACACTCCCAAGCTATGGCAGTAATATCGTGGGACATACTGTACATTATAAATATTTTCATTTTGTCTATTTTCATCGACCTTATTTTAGAATATTTCTTTCTAGCTTCCTTGTTTTTGTTTATAAATAATATAAAAACGGTTACGTACTTTTTCCGAGGTTATTTACTATTTTTGATTTTATGTCTTGTGACTACAGAGGGCATCTATGTGCATTTTTGGTACGAATTTTTAAAAGTGCAAAGGCATGTCTTTCCTTGCTTGAGCTTTTCCGTAAAATCCAATTGCCTTCGCAGAAGAAAAACCCTCCAAAACCAATTGATATTTTTATTTCGAAGTACTTTTCTATTCTTTGCGTTCGTTTTTTTATTTTTTTAATTGGACGCGGTCAAGGTCAAGAAACAGAACCAATTCACAACATTTTATTTATGAATCATCATACAAGTGCGCACCCGCTCCGAATATCGGCCCGGGCGCATTAAATTTCACAATAATAAATACAATTAAGAAAAAACACATACATTAATATAACTAAATAAAAATGGTAAAGGTCGCGCGGCAGGAAAAACGCATTTTCGCGTTTTCTTAAATGCTCCATCAGACTGGCCGCTCGCGAAGAACATTCTCGAACACGCACACCATCCCGCCCCTCTAACTCTTGATATAAAAATACCGTCTTATATAACCTATCTATACACTGTGTACCCAGATCATCGGTTCTCTGTTTTGGTTCTTTGGTACAAGGAAAAAAAAACGAAAAAAAAAAAAAAAACAGGAAATGTTTAAAAATCCGCACCCCCGAAAATTTTTGTCCGCAGCACTCCGAAAGTGTCAAAAGTCGGACGTCGTGGCTCGTTAAAAATTCGGCAAGTTAAAATTGGTCGGCGGCGACGTGGCGACCGCGCCGCCCCCGCCTCCACCCTCACCTTCGAGGTCGAGGAACGGCATGCAGCCCGGCGGCGTGGAATTCTGGACTGGCGTCGCGACGACGTTGCCGTTGCTCTGCGCGGGTGAGGCCTGCGTCTGCGTCAACATGCACGACGACGGCTCGACGTGCTGCGCGGCGGGTTGCGGCGACCGCGGCGGCGACGGGCTATCGAGGTTGATGACGCCGGGTGAGGCGGGGTACCCGGAACTGGAGACCGACGACGGTCCGGGCGTCGTTGTCGTCGACCGCTGCTGACCCGCGCTCGTCGACGAAATATTTTGAGATTCTTTACAAATAAAGAAAATACATGGTGTTATTAAGGTGGTAAAGTTTTCGAAAATAAAATATATTTTTTTAATATCTGTAATACTATTTTAGATATTTATATGAAATTTAACACACCATGTATAGGGTGGGCCGTTTATCTTCGGACATTACCTTATCTCAGAAACTATAGGAGTCAACAGTTAAATACAAAAGTTAATTGGAGTATTAAAAACTATCAATTTATTTTAATGTTTCATTTTTCGTCGGCGAGTATCAACTTTTTATTTTTTTGCAAGACAAAATACAGGGTGCGGCAAAAAGGTAGGCAGGATTTCAAATAGTGGTTGTTCGGTTTGTAAAACCGGCAACACTGTGTACGCACTCAGTTATCGACATGGCTTGGAGCGGAGTGCATCGTGCTTTCGTTGTCGAGAAGTTTATTAGAAATGAGGAATCAGTAAGAACACCGGAAAATGTGAATGCAGTAAGAGTTTCCGTACAACAGCCTCCAAGGCGTTCAGCTCGTAAGCATGCAGCTGCTCTGGGAATTCCCGATAGAAGTGTTCGAAGAATTTTACACAACTCACTCCAAATGCATCCGTACAAAATGATGGTAGTGCAGGAATTAAGCGCAAGAGATGTTGAAACCCGTACAAATTTATGCCGGGATATTCTTCAAAACATTCCCAGATGCGCTGTATTCATGTCTAGCGATGAAGCTCACTTTCACCTCTCGGGTACCGCAAATAAGCAAAATTTCCGTTATTGGTCAGCAAATAGTCCACAGGAACTTTTCTTCTCTTCACAGTCCAAAAGTCACCGTCTGGTGTGCAATCTCGGAGTTCGGCGTGTGGGGTCCTTACTTTTTCGAAGAAGATGGAATAACGGTAACAGTCAACGGAGATCGGTATTTTGATATGCTTAACAATTTCCTGCGTCCAAAAATGAAAGAGTTGAACAACGATCAAAGAGAACATCTTCGGTTCCAGCAGGATGGTGCTACATCGCACACAACGCGTCGTTCACTAAATCTTCTTCAAGAAATGTTCCTAAACAAAGTGGTGTCAACACGTTCGGTAAACTTTCTCACTTGTTCATTAAAAACTCGCTCCGCTGCGCTCAGCTCGTATCAAATAAACTCGTGAGTCAAATGCCGTTTACCGCTCTTGTTGCATAATATACTATTATAGAAGGTTGTACATCCGTAATATTTTTATTTTTTGAAATATTTCTCTTTAAACACTTGTCTAACACAAATAATATGCTGTTGTCATACAAGTTCAGTTAGTATAAGGCGGCTATGATGGTGTTTAAACAAAACAAGTGCTAGAACACTGCGCCTCCTTGGAGGCGTGTTTTGCTGTTGATTACAGTCATAATATATATTTTTTTGACACATTGATTTATTTACTTATCGTTGCGTATCATATTTACCACATATGAAAAAATCGATATGTTAGAACGTTACATATCTAATAATAAAAACCCGACCCTGGCTCTTGGAGATATAACAAAATTTCAATTAAGGAGGCGCCCAGAAAAAAAAGATCTTCGACTGGATTTACCAACACTTTAGAATATATGGAACCTTGAAGAAAGAAAAAAATAGACGTCGTCATCTTTTGAATGATGAAGAGCAACTTAACATTTTGTTGCATTTTGCAGATAGCTCTGAAGATTCAACCCGAAATGCGTCTTTAGATCTAAATGTCAAAAGAACGATGCTTCGAACGTGCCTTCAAATAAACAACTTAAATCCTATAAATTCTGTCCAGTGCAGAAATTGGAGCAACGGCATAACAACATCAGGTTAGATTTTTGCAACAATCTGAGTCCATATTTACAACCTCAACTAAAATGTTTAATCGGAAAAAGACCTTTTAGCGGCGCAACAAGAATAATAAAAAACATATTGAAGTTACAAGATCAGGTAGAACTTCTGGCAAAGTATGTTGCGCCATTTGGAGGTGCAAAATAATGGGTCCAGTATTTTTTGAACAAAATTTAAATTCCCAACGCTACTCAAAGCTATTAAATACTATTCATCCCTTTGTTGAAAATGAAGTGCCTGGAAGGGAACGGCGAAATTAAATTTAGCAGCAGGACGGCGCTCATAGAAGTCAAGAAATTAGCACCTAAATACGCCTAGGCTGCAAGGAGCCCTGACTTAACTCCCCTAGAACGTTGGCTTCATCTGTAAATATTATTTTTCGGTCAAACAAGGGATAATGCGCAATTTTGTCCAAAAGCTATTGACAAAAATTAATACGAAAAGGACAATCTCTGAAAAGTAACGTTTGGACTCGTTGAATATGATATAGGTACAACAGAAAATCGTGCAAAATTCTCCAAACCAAGACGTACGAGATTATTTCCAATTTTTCTAGTACTAAGTTTAGATTTTACATCAATAGAATTTAAAACTGCTTCAATTTCTGGAGTTCTTACAGGCCCCTGTTTAATAATGAATAATTTCCATATCTGCAACTCCTCATTAGTAAACTCGACTATTCTTTTTTATTTACGGACACAGCCTACTAAAATGATAATCAATAATTATGAAGATTTCAAAAATACACCTCAGAGTTTACGTACTTCGATTTTTTGTATTTTAATAAAACAGCTAAATAATTACATAAGTAAGAAATAATGATAAATAATAATAATTCTCTGCATACTGTCATATCAACGATATTGTTATGACCACAAAGAGGAGGTTTTTCTTTTTGTAAGCGAAAACTGTATATCGGAATGGAAAAAATCAAGAAATTAAATTTCTTTAGAAATGATTGGAGATTGTTAGAATACTTTTTATTTTAAGAAAAATCAGTGGCGTACCATCAATGTCTGCCAAAATAGACAAGTGAAACTTCGTGCGCCCGCCACTGGTACATTAAAAAAAATGTAGTGCACTAAATATTGCCCCTTGATACATAATTGCATTAAAATATCTCAAGTGGTATTACAGATATTAAAAAAAAATATTTTTATTTGAAAACTTTACCACCCTGTATCTCAAAAGTTAAGATGTTTAGGACATATGGTCATACGAAGTTTTTTTTTTAATCGCCCCCTTAAATATAGACATTCAATTAGAAAACACCCTGTATGAACAACCTCTGTACAAGCAACTTTTTTTAGTTGAACTGCAACTTATTTTTTTTAAGTTGAAAATTTTGGCTTAAAGTTAGGGCAATTGAAAAGTAAAATTAGCTGTTCACAACGACACGACCTCAAATGGCAAAAAAAAAATGTTATCGGACTATATCAATAGGAATAGAACAGTTACCAGAATTCTGTTAATTAATTAATTAATATTTTTGTACTTTAAATGTTGTTAAAAGATAAGCTATCCGTTTTAAAGGACATTGTAACGAATATTAAGTTGCTAAATCTACAATAAGTAGATTAAAGCAAGAGCAAGATTAAGCGAATGAAGACGATAAAACATAGTGAAATCGCCAATACAGTGTTTCCTTGGTTCTGTCTTGCAATGTCGAGCTAGCGGATTCATTTAACAATAAATTTAAAAATTATATTACACAAAATGGTTTTTTGCCTAAAGAAACATACGGGATGTTTTCTAATTGAATGACAATAATTAAGTGGCGATTTTTGGGTCCATTTTAAAAAGAAAACTTCATATGAACATATCCCCTAAACGTCTTAACTTTTGAGATACACGACAGAAAAGTTTTGAAAAATAAAACATTATATTTTTTAATGTCTGTAATACCACTTTAGATATTTTAATGAAATTTGGCACTCATGTGTTATGTATCAAGAGGCATTATTTATTGTACCACATTATTTAAAAAAATTCACCAGTGCCGAGCGTATGGAATATCACCGATCTATTTTGGCAGATACTGATGGTACGCCACTGATTTCTCTTTTCATTTCTTTTAATCCGATGTACGGTTTTCGCTTAAAAAAATAAAAACCTCTTCTCTGCATGGAATAGTTTCTTCAGCACGGAAAAATATAAACTTGAAAGCAGTGGCGTGCATTACATATAGGCAAAAAAGCATTGCCTACCCTTTCGTTTATTCAAGACAAACATAAATTGAAAATCTATTTATCTAACAACGCTCATTCATTACATACGACATACTTATTTAAAATGACCTACATATTTTTATTTTTCTATATAGTAAGTTAGTATAGTCTTTATTACGGTTGCAAAGCCGGAAACATCATACAAAACAAACGCCACCTGTTCAACGTCTTATTATTACCTAAAAAACGCATCCCATTATTCAAAGTCGAACGCACGGTCGAAGCTTAAGATTACATTTAAATGGGCAAGCAACGAACACAGTCGGGACCGTCCGATCCGTCGGATGCACTGCGATACCGCGGCCCGCCGCATGCAGTATTGCCAATGCCGATGTTATTACAGAACTATGTAAGAAATCGTCCCACGTTATTTTGGGTAAAAAATGGTTCTCTTGCCTACTATACGCTCTATTTTCTATGTCCTTTATGGGAAAACATAATTAGGGCGTGGCACACCAAAAATTTTTCGCCTGCGGAGCTATTTTTTTCCTCTTACCTAACCTACAATACATTGCACTGCACGCCACTGTTTGAAAGATGTGGTTTATTTAGTGTTGCAGGCATGGAATGAAATTCCTGTGTTAGTTAAACAAAATTCATTTAAACATCTTTCGTCAAAATCAATAGAACATTCCTACTGGCCATTTTTCAGAAGAAGTATGATATTCCTTTGGCAAGATAATTTAGCAGATACTGAAATTATGGAGTGGCAAGTTATCCATCCATTTAACCTGGAAGAAAATACTGAGGAAAAAACGTCGGATGACTCTAATAAAAACATCAAATTCTTTTCATTTGGTATTAGAAAGGCCAAAAGAAAATGACTTATTTTGTAATGAGGTTCTTTTGTTATAAAGAACATGAGACAAAGGTATCATGAGCAGATATATGTAATTGTTTTTTTGTTTTGGCGATTAATGCTGTTTATTTTTTTTAAATATACTTAATAACAACGCTTAT